TCAATATAACAGCATAAAAATGAGCAGTGACTAGGACACTTCACAGGCCAGGCCTGTGGGGCCCAGTAAGGAAAGGCCCAAACAGGGTAAGGAGTTGTCGACTTAATCCAGCTGCTAATAGACCTATATAGGCTGCTAAATTCCAGCCAGCCAATACCATAGCAGGGTGTTTACTAACATGGAAAACTCTGAATCAGGGAATTTCTGAAAAATCTGGCCTGGTCATGAAAACTCACGGCTGTCTGTTTGACCGTCACGAAAATAAGCATTACCATTGATCAAAGCTTAAGAAGCCACTCCTTCAGCTGCAACTACAATGAACAGCTAAAAGATGTGAGAAAAAGAAAAGCAGTGCACGACTGTTGATTCTTAGTGAAGGCGGGAAAAGATACACCTACCAAAATAATACAAAGTTTACTGACATCATGGTACCCGCTATGGGAGCCTTGTATTACAATATTAGCCATAAAAAAGGCACATAATATTGAAGTACACCTAAGTATGTGACGTTAGCTCCGGAAGTGCATTGTTGGAAGCGTCCCATCACTCCTATTCAGCATATGTGCAGTTGTCTACATGTGCTGATGCTCCAGGTGAAGGCATGATGCAAGCTTTCCTTTGGCCAGAACACGCACACTTGACCAGTCAGTTTGGTGGCCTGTATATTTCACATGTTTAATGAGGGCATATGAGGTCACGCATAGTTTCCTGGTGTCATATTTGTGTTGTTTTTAACTCTTCCCTTAAAATCAGTGGTCTCACTGATGTACTGGTATCACATTTGTGGTAGCCTAAAGTAAAAAAGACGGTGGAAAATTTTCCTTGGCAACTTTTTCTTCATGTTATATTGCTTCCACGTTCGTAGGTACGCTATTTTGATGTCTGTTGCTTCTACATATCAGACAGCATATCTGACTTTCCAACCACAACGTAATTCACGTAGTTGAGTTTGTGCATGTTTGTCTTGACCATGATTTGGCTCGGCTTGAAGGCCTTCTGGTTCGGCTAGGACTGCCATTAGCAGAGGCTTGCCGGGCTATGTCATGCATTTTATCATTATTGTGACTATTGCTACTGGCGATGCAACGGCGAACGGCCTCAGTTACACACTTAATGCTGGTAGCTCGTGTTTCAGGGGTAGAGTTGGGTAAATTCTTCAAAATTTCTCATTTCAGTTTCTTGAGATGAGTTGTTAAATCTGTGACTTCTTTTTAGCCTTATATCCATAGAAGAGTACACAAACGATGGTAATCCGCCGGCACCTGGGATAAATTTATGAAATCGAGAGCGCTGTTGCAACCAGACTGATTCCTTCTCTCCGGTACATATTCGAACGTCATCGCTTTAAATACCACCCCTTGCTTTCATTGCAGAATTCTGAGGACTTTGTCGAACACTATGTGCCAGAGCTCATAGAAATAAAACATCAACATGCAGGTGCTTATCAAATAAAAGAAAAGAATGAGAGAAAGAAAATTCTGCCGAAAGTGTGGCAGCTTGGGCTAGTTGGTATGGCATGACGATAGTTATAGCGCGAGACCAAAACGACGACACAGAGACAAGAAGGACACGAAAGACACGTGTCTTTCGTGTCCTTCTTGTCTCTGTGTCGTCGTTTTGGTCTCGCGCTATAACTATCGTCTGCCGAAGGGCTCTGTTCTTGTGACGTTGTTAGTCACTGTTCAAGGCAAGGTGCACAGAATGCGCGAGTAGTAGTGTTTCTTTTTTTCCCTGAAAAGTATATACTAGAGGTGTGCAATTTGGGTGTAAATTGTGAATAGCAGGTGTGAATTGTGATAAACTTTCTATGATTGCAGCAATATCACATAGCATAATTTCAAGCCACTCTATATTGCATTCCTAGAAATAAAATAAAACAATGTCAGCTTCAGTCATTAGTTGTAATTAGCATATCAATAAATATTTTATTATCATGCACTTAGTCAATATTTTCTCATAATAATAATGATATCATAAGCTGTAAATGTGTGTGGAATTAAGTATTGGTTGCATTTATTTTGAGAAAAAAAAGTAATACTCTTGACATTGCATCTGAAACATAGCATGTTGAACGAGCCGTTAAACACCATGTGCCTTCACCAAAATGATCGGTTACAGTACTGTGAGGTTAAGTCAAGACATATTGACTAAGGTTCAGTTGATCCAATCAGTGATGCATCGTGCTCTCTTTTTGCCACAAGTTGACACAATTAACTGAAACAAGTTGCTTAGGCAAACATAACGACCACGGTTTAAGGGGATATAGCAGTGCCACGAGGAAGCAGTGGGAGAAACTTCAATATGACATGGTTGAATTTTTCAAGAGCACAAAATATGGGTAAAAAACTGCATAAAGGGGCCCCGGAACAGTTTTTCGGTATGGCTGCGGGATGCTGTCATGTGCACTTGCAGTCACACTGAAAGTAAGCCGCACATTAAAGAAAATTGAAAAAAAGAAGTGCTCAAGGTCATGCTGATGAAGGGACGCATCTCCTCGTCCCTCCTTATGTAGCTTTCAGCATGCTCACTAGTACCAAAAAATAGAAAGCACTTAAAGCGTGTTGAAAATTCCAACAATTCCTCTTGTGCTTGATGGATTTTAAAAATTCTTGCGGCAGGCGATTCGTGATGCAGATGATCACTTGGAAAAGTCCTGAAGGGTGCCTTTGACAACCTTCTTATTTTTGGACAGACGTGTAGATATTCAGGATCAGTTAGTAACTTTAACCCATATACGCCTGAACTTTAAGATATTAACAAAACAATTTTCTTTTCTCGAAATAATAGCTTGTAAGGTCTGAGAAAAAAAATAAAACCTTTATTCACAAGAAACATTTTTCTAACAACGATTCTGGCACCGTCCTACATATAGGACACTAGGCCATGAGGTGTGGCGTTGTGGCAATTCGGAACAGACGTAGCGCACTACTTATTTAGTTGAACCGTATGTAATAAGAAACACTTTACATGCATTGCAACATCCCATCTTTCACAATGTGTGGTGGGCTTTCCATTGCGCACCTTGTTTGCTTTTCTTGGGGTATCAACAAGAGGTCCGTGCGGTCAAATCGGCTTTGCGCTTCCAGCGGAGACTGGCGGCTTCTTCCACGCAATGGCTTGTAGCCATATCTCTTTACGTACGACATTGCTACTGTCCTTCGAAACATTCTAAGGTCCATTTTGTCTGTTCCCTTTCTCTACAACTGGAATGTGTTGTTCACACACGCACCAAAAAGATATGTTGAAAGTGATGACTACCACTTGATACCTCTCATGGCAGGGTGGTACTTTGCAATATTTTGATCCAGTCAGTCAACCCCACCTATCTTGGCATTGTATTTAAAAATAAAAAAAAAGGCTGCTCCACCATGATGTATTGCTTTTATCTAGAGTATCTTTTCACCATTTGCAGCTGTTCAAGTCCATGACCATTTGATATCACTGTAACTATGCTATTGTCCTTCCAACAACATACAATAATATTTGATTCAGTGTCAGCTCTAATTGTAAATGGCTCAAGACTTCTTTTTCATTTGTTTCTGCATGCCTTCTCTATCACCGCTTCATTGACCTGTCACTGCACTAGCATAATTGCTAGGCGGAAGAATGGTGACAACTGAAGGCACGCCATCGCCAGCGTCAATATGATTCAAGATGTCGTTCAGCATCCGCAGGTACTTTCTTGCGTGAAAGGAACTGCAAGGAATTTTCCGAGTGCGAAAAAAAATGAAAACACGAATGTGCTATACACCCATGTGCATGTCATTATGTTACGACAAGCCTCACGGGCACGACGTGGCATGCATTCCAAATTGACACAGCGTGACACCCCATGTGCCCAGCATCCTATATGTAGGACACCAATGTTTGACAGACCGCAAACAATAAACTTTGCCGCATATCGCCGTCATATATCAGTTTTACTGCACATCCAATAATTTACAAACAATCCACAGGAATATTGGCAGCATCCAGAACAATTTGGATATATATTACTTGCATTTCCTTCCGCGGTTTGGTTCTCTATTTCATGCACGTGAAACAACAATTTTGCGACTGCGATCACGAGGCGACTGGTGGCCGGGCGATCATTTAGACTTGAGCATGAGAAGGGCAGGGCATCGTCAGTACACTTCAGGTAGCGCTAGCCTTTTTACAGAAAAAAAAGTTCGAATTACAATGAAAAGTTTCAGCGTCCTACATGTAGGACACTAGGCATATATGGGTTAACCCTTTATCGCCATGGCTACAAGTAGAGAGTGGCAGCTCATGATTTGTCGGCTTACAACGGTTCATTGCAGGATGATTGCCACTTGCAGTGATCACCAAATTACTCAGTTGCATGTGAGCTTTCTCTTTTTTATACCCTCAGTCTTTCGTTCTAGGCTTTGTTTGCTATGTCTTGACATCCATTTCATTTCTCTAACTGTTCACTGACCACCTCTCAACCTCTTTTCTTTTTCTTTTTGCATAATATAAACTGGAATACCAGCTCAGATTCCCAAATTTGTTCTCGGATCCTCTGTGCTCTTTTTCCATTTTAAGCTGCTACATCTAGACACAACTCTGTATTGGAGGGGACACCGGTAGCTTCGTCAACATCGCTGTTCTCCATGTTAATGTCGGACTCGTCGCCACCACTAGCCGAAACACAGCCCTCGAAATCGGCAGTTTCTCTAAGTTCCCGGGTCTTCCTTTTGCGCTTTGTTGCCACTGGTTTAGACAAGTGTGCAGGAATGTTCGGGTAAATTTGAAGAACTGCACCGGGCTAAAGTGTCCTCCTACCATGTGAAATTTTGACATTTCCTCCTACGATGTGCTCACAGCAAGTAATAAGGACTTCAGATTCGAAATGTAGGTTGCAAATGTAGGTCTTGACTGTCATCTGGAAGGTTTTTCATACTATAGCAATAAAAGAATAAATAGGTAAATAGCGGCTGCCTGGGTCTTGATAACTGCAAGGTCATTAGGCAGTTTGAATAAGTGCTGTCGATCGCAGGTGTTGTCCTCGGGGGCATAGCCACTTCAACTGCCCATTGTGCTGCAGATCGGCATGTTTACTATGGTAAACTGCTAATTCACTCAAACATGCTTGATCGTTGTGTCACATGTGAAATACAATATGTGAAAAAGCTTTTCTACATAAAAGTTATTTAAACTGTCTGTATATGCCACCTATTGCACTGCCTGCTATTTTTCTTAAACTTTTCTTCCTTCACTTTGGAAGCCCTTCTTGTAATTGCTCAGATATTTGAGCTACAATCCAAAGAGATTGTGCATGAAAGGCATCTCACATAAAAATAATACGATTTGTGTCAGCTGCGGGCGTGCAAGCTCCCCGATATAAAGCATAGCAGGATTATTTGTGGCGCTAATTGTCAGTGTGGCCAGTCTGTTTTCTCTAAGCTGTTCCAAGAGAAGCATAACTGGTTCTAAATATATTCTGACATGCAATTTATAAGATTTGTAATTGCACCAGGCTTGTTCACTTACAATCGCCCATAACCAGAAGGTGCAGGGGATAAACGCTATTTATAGCAGAGGCGAAGGCAGAATATTTTTCGGGGTGTTAGGGCACCATCTTGATCTGAAGTGGGTGCCGGACAGGGAAGTCTGGTCGAGTGTCACTTTTTGCTCGGTAAACAACAGCAGGAAAATTTTTTTGGGGTGGTTGGGGAACGGCACAGGCTGGTATGCCGCCTCCTGATCACCCCACTGATTCATTGTAGGCACAGAAATAATTATACATTTGTTAGATACAGGCGTTGCCCTTATTTATCACTTATTCATTCGGCTACCATTGAGATGCTTTTGCAAAAGTTCGAGTATTCAGAAACGAATTCCCCTCTTTTTTGCATGCAGAGGTAGAAGACGATGCTCAACGAATCCCAAAGCGACAACAGCGCCACCGCTGCGCGGGATATGGGGGCCACATCTCGCCCCTGCAATCCCGCTCGCTTACCCAACTGTCAGTATCTAAAAATGTTGGCCATAGGCCACCAGTTCGGTTGTCTGTGACACTTTCCTTTTCTTTCTTTCGGTCTCTTTATTTCCCAAAATAAAACGAAAACATTACATTCTGGATGGTCTCCTGGGCTAAAAGCTGTAATGAAACAGCTTGACTAAGGCCCAGAAGTCCGATTGCTTTGCATTGTATGGTGTGGGCATGGCTTTATATTTGTGATAAACTTGAGAGCTACTTTTTATGTGTAATAAAGCGAAGCAAAATTGGTGTCTTAACTGCTATAGTAGCTCTTTCCGACTTAGACAGAAACATACCATTAGGTCCAAGTCATGGCCCCTGTGCTTGGATTGGAATGTCACGCTGACACCATTGCTGTTTTTTGTCACGTTCATTGTTGCGAAGCATTTTTTACCACATTTGATGGTTGACTTGGGCTTTCTTTTCTCTGAAGCTGAGAAAAGAAATGAAACTGAGCAGTTAATTTATAGACTTTATTTCAAGCATATGCTGGCACAGTGCCAGCTTGAGTGTTACGTATATTAGTTAAATTTCATTACCTAATAGAGCTACTGTGTTATATAAAATGAAGCAGAAACCTCAGTAGCTCTTTATGCAGTACTGTTCTGTTTTGTGGGGGTCATTTATGGAAGGAACTTTGAAAATTGCCAACCTTTTGAATGCTGGCACTGTTTCTGTAAAATTGCTTGCTCTGGCTTGTACTCAATGGTTTAATGGAGTGCTAAAGACATGAGGAGAAATAAGCATGTGCAAGAACACAATGAAATTTTCACAGATGTAAATTTTTACAATATTTTTCACTATCATATATCTTTAGATCGGCAGTAATACATAATGTTTTTCGGGAATTTTTAGACGTGAAACTTTGTTGAACAAAAATAATTTGATCATAGTAACAGTCATAAACATACAGCAGGCATTTTGTGTATATAGAGCTTTCACAATGGAAAGTGGTTGTGACATTTATTTGGCAAAAAGAAAAATTACATGAGACGTGGTGATGAGATTGTGTTGCAAAAAAGGGGCGGGGGCTCTATAAAGTGCAAATGCTGAATGTAAAATATAATACAACATAGTTTGACAATTGTTTGGGATGAATTGTACTCACGGGAAATTACATTTTAAATATTCATGTGTACATATTTGTCTCGAGAGCTACGTATTATGTAAGCAGGATGAAATAAATGGAAATGCAACTATTGTAGCTATAGCGGATGTATTTAAAAATGCATTCCTCATCACAAAACCTGCATTTCTGTTTCAGCCTGTTTCTTGTGTGGGTGTGTGAGCGGTGAAAGGCAATTACACCCACATGACAAATACGCAAGAAATCGGGGGGTTTTCCCATTTTGCCATCTTTGACGACCCAGTGCCATCACCATAGTTCTATTGGTGGCACTGCCATTGATGGACGCAGCTAACCTTGCAAAGCCGCAGTGCTGGTATCATGCCCTGTTTAGTAGGGTCATTCATTCGACTTTTCTCGACCTTTCTTTCAAATATCTTTCGCCTCTAACAAAGTTGAAAGTCAGGGTGGGTTCCTATACTGTTAGCGAAGTCAGCTCACATTCAACACCAAAGGCAGTTCAGAAAGTTTGAGGGGCTTTTTTGCAGGGTTCAAGTTCATTGCTAGATCTCAGCGTAATATCATGACGATCCTGTTCATGATGAGAATAGTCTGAAAATATTGATACGGGACTTTCGTTGAAGTGGGGTAGAGGAGAAAGAAGTGAATGTGTTCTGTGCCAGGCCTGACTGCTGCAACCATCTATCATCCCGCCTGTACAATGAGCATCTCTCGCCCGTAACATAATTGGTGGAGGTGCTGGGTTGTGGGATAGTGTTGTGTGAGTTATGTGGCGTTGGGTGCATTGGCACAGTGCTGAAGGTGCAGACAGCTCGAGTTTACAGTACTTGTGCTGAAATGGCCTTTTGGGAGTCAAAAGGCAATCTGTGGACAAAGTCATAGCATTGTTCACTCTTAAATAATTTTTCAACCACTGGGGATTCTTTTGTTTGTATTGCACAATAATAATTGTCATCTGGCCTGCTTGTGTTAATTGGTTACATCTCTTGAAAATTGAGCTATCACCGCTTTCCCACCAAGAAAACTGCTGTGATATAGCATGCTCACTGATTTTAGTGGCAAAAAGCATTCACACAACGAAAGGCGCACAAGAGAGATGATGCTTATTCTTGTTGCCGTGCAAGTGCTCACAAGTCAGAGCAGTTATTTCAGTAGTGCACAATACCTTGTGAAGCATAACTGCCGGATCGGTGGCACGTGTAATAGGAAAGTTCCTTTCCTGAGGAGCCGCTTTTCCATTTACTTCCTGTTGCAGTGAAGCAGCTGAAAGCCTCTTCCTCTACATTTTTCTTCCATTTGTTGAATTCTGTTCATGAAAACACCATAGAACATCATGTGTGCAGCATGTATGAAGCTGAAGCTGTTGCAATAGTGGTAATTTCGGGAATTTTTCAATTCTTTAATTTCACTTTGGAAATTTTTAAGATCAACTTGACAGGATCATTAAAAACAAAGAATAGAAATCTGAGAGGGAGGTTTATTTTTTGTATATCTTTTACCTTATACTCTGTGTAATTTGCAAATTTGGTTGTGTTGTCCTGATCTAGGAATAGAAAGAGAGCATTAGAGCAACCACAGACTAAATTATGCTATTAATTTGAGGTTGACTATCTAGGAACACAGCAGATATTTGATGATATTCTGGCTAATTTGTATGTGTTTGTATTGGCAGAAAAGGCACTCGCACGGGGATAAAGGAAAGGAAGCACAGCACTAGTACAGCAATGACAGATAGTGCATAATTGTAACTCATGTACTGACATTTCTTCACATATGCCTATTTTAATTCTTTGATAGCTATATAAAATGTGACTTATGCAGAAGACTTATGTTAAGAAGGCCAGTATAAATGTAGCAAGGCTAATACTAGCAGCTGTGATAGTTCCTTTATTATATTAATAAAATGACACAATCATTCTGATAATTTGTCATATTGTATTGTCAAACACTGTAACACTAGGTTAAAAGGTCATATTTCATTTTATTTGACTTTCTGGGACAGGGCATCTTGTAGCGTTGTGGTGGTACACAAGTAGAACGTAACAAAGTCATGATGACTGCGAGCAAGTTTCAGTTCTTTCCTTACAAGAGTCGATTAAACTAATGCATATTCTATTACTAGCTTTTTAGATACATTGTAAAGCATTGCCATTGAATATATTTTTGTTGTCGATTACGGTCGCGGGTATTGTTTATTTATTTATTTTATTTACTTATTTATCAACCTTAAAGTAGGCTTTAACTAACTCAAACAATAATTTCAATCTCAATACAGTGTTTCTCTGTGTTGGAATTGGGAAGTTGGCTTTTGCTAATAAACATGTTGTTGAAGTACGGCCGAAACTGTTATAAATAATTCTAACAGCTCTCCTAAGAATTTTTTTCCATTTCGTTGATGTTGGTTTTAGTGTGAGAATACCAAACTATTTATGCCTTATTTAGAGTACGTTGAACAATTGACTTGAATGCAATAAAGTGAACGGCGGGAGTGGAAAGCTAGAGAGCTCGTTTAATATAAAATAGTTTGTAATTGCATGAACTTATTACATTTTCCATATGTCTCGTCCATTTTAGGTAATGCGAAATCCAAAGAAACTCCGCCAAGAAAACATTATTGGATGAATAAGTTAAATGAGGAGGATTACGTTTTTCAAAAACTTTCATAAAAACGGTCTCTTTAGAATTAACCGACATCTGCCATTTATTGCAACAACGAATGACCTTATGAAAGGCATCGTTCAAATAGATTTGGTCTGTCTGGTTTTCTATCTCTGTGTACAGGATGCAGTCATCAGCATATAACTTAACATTTACCGGCATACAATGCGAAATATCACTGATAAATAACAAAAATAGGTGTGGCCTGAGCATTGAGCCTTGGGGGACACCTGAACCAACTGGTATACCATACAGGAACAAGACATATTGTTTCTGATTTGAAATATAAGCGGAAATCTAATTTAGAAGCTGAGTATTTTTAAGAATGACATACAATTTGAACAGCAACTTATTGTGAGAGGCCGTATTGAAAGCCTTCGCAAAATCCATTAAATTTGCGTTTACTTTGTTTTCCAGGACTCACCTCGCGCGCCAACCCTAAAACGACAGCAAGCTCGCCTAGAAATAAAATGCGATCGCACATGTTCCTCGGTGGTACCTGGGCATAGAGATATCTTCAAGAAGCAAGTGGGGCGAAAGCTGCCCAGATCCAAGCTACCCGGATGAATTCTGTGAGAAAAGAAAGACTCGTCGGTTGAGGTGTCCCACTCTGATGCAGACAGTTACGGGGCTCACTTTTATCGTCTTTTCTGTTTTAAGAATCACATAAGATAGATCCCCCCACAATGCGCTGCTCCAAGCGCCCTTACGAGGCTCTCGGAAGCTGTGACAGACTCGTGGCATGATGAAAGCTTTGCGTCCTCGCCGTGAAGCTTCGTCACCATCAAAACGACGACAGCGCACCGCCGGCAGCTGTAAACAAACGCCATCTAAGCCTTTTTTTTACAATTTTCCTTGCAAGATTTGAGAATGGTAAGCTTCAACCGTTTCTCATTTAATTTTAGGCATTAAGAAGCATGCGTGGTGCAAACGCTTGAAAAATTGGAAAGTGACACAGTTTAGGTGAATGTTTCTAGTTAGATGGCAGCATGGATTAGAAAAGAAACAGTCGTGCTGCACTGCTCGTGAAAGGCATGCGAATATGTTGATATTAATTACAGAAAGTTTGCCGAGTACTGTCAACGAGGTGTCACGACATCTACGGCTACAGAAGTGGTGGAACGTTATCAGTAAACTTTTACTTACTGCAGCGAACGTTTCGTGGAGTGCGATGGATATATCAGCCAGCGCTGGACGGCGACTGTGCTCCGGGCATCTGCGTCGGAGCTATGCGTAGTACGCTGATGCACGCATATTGTTCACTGCTGTACATTCTAAAACGTTACTACGTGACCTTTATTTCATGTAAACGTCGATTGGCTTGCAATAAAACAATTTATTTCT